AATTGGGTCATTCAGCGTGTCCTCAAAATGAATCCTCAGATTGTCTCAGTTTCCCAAGCTCAAGCCATTGTGGATTATTAGATGTGGATAATCTTTGCATATAATACTCGTGTGTCGTATCTCGATATCTCTGCTGCTCTTGTGCGCTGTCCAAATAAGGCGAATGACATGAACAAACAGACCCTCATTATCTAATACAAACACTGATAGAGCTGGCGCTGCTCTCCCCAAACCTAGTGCTTGTTGCCGGAGGCAATACAAAATTGTCAGACAAACAAGACGAGGAGTAGCACTGGAAGCCTAATTAATTGGCTGAGGTGATAATTAATTTGCTGATGACATCCAAGTAAACATTTTTTCAGATATGCAACAATTGAGAAGAGTAAAATCATAATTTCAAGTCAGCTGAAATCATTTAAAAGCAACTGATTATATAATGGTAATCAATGGCCAGCGCCTACACCCAATCCTATGGAAAAAGCCGATGGCATGCCAAGAAGTCAGTGTGAAAGATATGAAGCGATAAGCATGAATTAAAATTGGGCAAATGGCGTGCAAAAGTTTTTTCACGTAACGTAATGACGCGCCTGCAAGAAAATATAATTTTGCGAGCACTACTGTTGCATGTGCGAGTACGGCTCGAAGGATTAGATATTGGATTACATTCAGTACAGCTGGTGAATGCTTTCGCGTGACTAAATTGAGTGCATTGCGCCAACAGGGGTCTAAGCAATATCGTTGGACAGTCACCAAAATTCGTAGCACGTTCCTGCAAAGCACTCAACTGAGCGATTCCTGTTAGCCATTTCCAAAGCGAAAATGGCCAAGCATACTACTGTCTGTCTATCGGTCCATTTACCCGCTTTTCTGTTTTGTCGGTTTCCCTCTATTGCAATTTCCTCATCCACATCCGCTGTGTCTGTGTGCCCGTTGAGTTGATGCGCCTTTTACCCGCGTAATTGTGCGTACCAGCACAACAAACACAGCTGAAACCCAAAACAGGCACTGAACGCAGTCAATGGAAGCCCTTCCTTTACGCACATCGTGAAATTGATTGTTTCCTTTGCAAAGAGTTTGACGGAGAAATCGTCATGCAAATTGTAATTGGCTTTTGTTCAACTGGTTCTTTGCTGGCATTTGTGCATTCAATTCCCCTTTGTAATTGTATCTTTTTGGAACATTTGGAACGATGCACACGTGACTCCACAGTCAACTACTGGAATTCACAAGAAAATCTCCCGCTTATTATCATTAAATAATTAATAATCAACAGAAAATTCAGAGTCGCATTACTCGTATTTATTTGAGTTTATAAATTCAGCCGCTAAAGGCTTCGAATGATTTAAGTACTTTGAATTATTATTTGAATTATTATTTTTATTAAGGCCTCCATTTATGTATTTAGCAGAGAAGAATGTTATCCTCATGGGAATCGCCAGCTTAGCTCCGTTCAACAATAATACAAGTATATTCCTGGGATTTGCATATTTCTGCACTTTGATTTATGGGTTAAGCTTCGTTTCCGCCATTAGCAGACCCTTTTTGTATTTTGGGCCAAAGAGATAAAAATTTGTATCATAAAAGCCCTGAGGGCTGGGGACAATGCGTACCAGAAGGATTTATTTATCTTTCATAAATTCTTTGCTCTGCTTTCATTTTCAAATAATAATTAGCTAATTGCGACGACTATGTGTTGTACCTCAGGTAAATTGACGGAACTGGAGGGTGATTAGGAACTGTTAAGAGAATACCGGATAAAATATAATTTAATTTGTATCTGTCTTATGGAAGTGGTATTGGAATTTCCCAAAATAAAACGAGTATGCCTTATTATCTGCATCTGCAACCGAACTCGAGCCAATGGCCATTCAATTTGAATGACTCTAGATAAGAAGCAAGTGCCAGAGAAGGAATTCGAGCACCCTTATCTTGTTTGAATCCTGCTGAAGAAATTTCTCCCGCTACTTGCAGAAGCTTAGCTGCATTCAAAGGGAAAGCCTCCTTCTTTTTGTGCGCTGTGTCGCTAATTGGTTGTTGGAAATATTCAATGACAGTTGCTCTCTTCTCAATGCTTAATGGTCAGGAAAAAAAGGACTGGAATCGGACTGCATTTTTTTTCATGCATATTGCTTTGTTGGCTGTGTTCTGCTACTGGAATTTTTTTTTAAGTTGAACTGAGTGTTTTTTTTGCTAGACAGCTGCACATACTGAAAAAAAAAGTGAGGCTCTGCCCTGGACTTTAAAAAATTAAAATTTGGTATGCCACAAAAACGGACAAAAGACCCAGTCTGACCAGCAAGGCAATACATTTCGTGTATGTACCCACCACAGGGGGCCTTCCACCGCAGGGACTACGAAATACCTACGTGTTAAGTTGAGTTAATTAATGCGTCTCTCTCAACGGAACACGTTTTTATTTACGCTTTGGGGCTTGGTTATTTTATTTTGTGGTCCGAAAGTTAAAGCATTAAATATTCTTCTAGGTTTTTCATTAAAAGCAAAAAGTTAAAATTATAAAATGATGCCATAGAAAAATGATTTAGAAAGAATTAAATCAAATTTATCTAAAAAGTTATCAACAAATTAACAAACAACATTAATGATGAGCAAATACAGATGACACTCGGAAAATAAAGCCGAATGCCAGAAAAATTATTGAAGCAGAAGCCAATGATGCAAGATGCATCTGGCAGGATCTATGAAAGAAGAAAGCGTTATAATTTATGACACATTTGTCTATATTTGTTAAATTCAACAAGCACAATATTGTGAGTCTAAGGCAAAAGCCGCTGCAGTGCAGAGAGCTTGCGGTTGCTGCAACTTTGACCGAGATTGTGAGAGCCACAAAAAAATGCGTCGACGAGATTTTCAATTCTCTCTTCATCCGCTTAACCATTTGCTAAGTACAAAAGTACATTTCTCTTACTTTTTGCCACAATTTGTCTCCATTTGCCTAGTGCCCTTTTTTTAATCTTCACTAGACACGCCGCAAGGCTTACAAAAGAATTTTCTTAGTTTTTTATATTATGTGAAAACTTTGCGGAATGCCGTAAAGTGTAGTATGCAACGGACCAGAGTGGCAATTTAATTTAGAAATGCATTCGCTTTAAAATTTAAAGAAAAGAGCATGCAGCTGGTTACATTTTTAACACTTAAATTATAAAATTTATATTCCAGAAAAATTCGTGAAACCGCTCCTTAAATTTACTTTGTAAACGAAAATCATAAGAAAGTTTGCTTAGAACACACTGCCACCAGTTATAATTTTCTTAAATTATATTTACCTAGGCGTTCTTCGTGCCCTCCTAAAAAATCCTCCAAAATAAAAGCAAACAAAAACCAAAAACAATTTTCTGTGGCAATGCAGTCTTGAATTTATATGGAAATGAAATAAGAAAATGAATGTATTTTCTATGATGTAAGGATATAAGCTAAAGTAAACAGCACACAGGAGAAAGATTCTGTGTTTATTCTAGTAATCTTGTGTTATTCCTATGTGAACGAAGTATTTTCCTTTTGGTACTTTTAATTTTTTTGGTACAAGATTCTCACTTTTTACACTCTCTCCATTTATTTTACTGTTTGTATTTCGCTTTTAATTGGGTCTAAAGCAAACAATCTGATGAAAAGTCAAGAACGCATTGAAATGGAATTAAATAAAACAATGGAAAAAAAAAATAAAATTTGCATAATTAAAACTCGATGGACAGAGATTTCAGTAAAAGGTGGAACCATTGGGCAACGGTAATCATGCTATGGTTTACATGTACAATACATAAATACCGTAATACAATGGTGGAATGGCTGTTTACTTAATTAATGAAGTTCATTTAAGTTCTCAATGCTCATGTCATCCAGTTAAATCGCTTTGTATCCACTTGGGGACCAAAGTTCGTGTCAAACGAGTTCATAGCTGAGTTTTCCCACTTTTCTGTTTGTTTGTCGCAGCGAGTGTAAGATCGGAAATAGAACAGACACGGCTCCAATTATGTTTCAATTACAAGCACTCTGAATGGGCTTAATGCCTTCGCCCCTATGGCCAGAACGTGCGTGGAATTGGCAAGAGCAACACTAAGATGTTGAACTAAAATGTGAAGTATAAGGCAACAACTTGAACAGACTCGAGCTGCATTATAATTGAAGCTTCCAGAGAAACGCACTGACCATTCAGAGAATACAGTAAAATACTAATAAAGGCGCTGAAATGGCGTAAAAAAAAGAGAATTAGGAGGAGACTGTGAAAAAACATACAAAAAGCGAAATGGCATGTGAAAAAAAAGAGTAACAAACTTGTGTACTAAGGAGTGAGGGAATGGTGGAATGGCTGAGCCAAGTTTACGAAACTATTTTATAAACAAAAGCTAATCCCAAAAGGAAAATGTGTTGGCTCCCCTGTGTCATGGGCTTAACAAAAAAAGAATAAAAAAAACACCAGAGCACACAGCAAACACCAACACACTACGTACAACAAGCAACAGCTGGCAAACGGGAAACAATCCAGTTGGTAGAGACAATGTGGAGATTTCCTGGAAAATTGCTTGCTTGGTTGGCCCTTTTAATGAGAGATTTTTTAACTACATTCTCGTATTCATCTCTCTCCCAGCCATATAATTTTTCATTTTGCTCTTAGTCACATCAATGAGCTGGTTAGACCAAAGCGAACTGAGCTTTTATGTGGTAGAGAGCGAAGTGAACTCGTTTTGGCTTTGGGCTACACCGCTACTCTGTGTACCATGTGGACTGAAATGTGGCTGACACCCCGGACCCCCTCTCTCAATTTTTCTCCTGCAGAGTAACTCAGCAGTAAAGGATGAGTTTTCATATCTGGAACATACAGCTGGATTTCAAGTACATGCAGACTGTTATTAAATTCTTCCTCGCATAGAATCTTGGTCATGGTAAAATAATACTTAGTAAAATAAAAAAAATATATTTGGTAGCCCGTTACATATCGGAATTATTTATTAATTAGAAAGAAGAAAACCCAGCAACAGCTTAGCAATAGAACATATAATTTATTTGAACAGCATTACAGCTTTGATGCATTATCCGAAAGAAAATCGTCTAGGCCTTACTCTCTGCAGCAGACTGTGCGGAAGTGTCTCCTGCCGCTACTTCCGCACTGACTTCTGGCCCAGCGCCCTTAATTGGCATAAGGAAGGTCTGGGTTAAACACGAACAGGCCAGCAATAACATCACAATAAGATTTGTCAACAAGACGTGATCGATGGATCTGCGAATTTGGCGCCAGTGGCCTGTGTTTTGAAAATAGAAACAGAAAAACAAACACATGGCATCGCTTATCAGGAACATGCAGGTGAAAATGGCACGTGTATGCTTATGGGCATAGGGCGAGAGGGTGTATAGGCCAGCGATGATAATAATGGATGGAATCAATATCTTGGTCAGCAGCAGACCGGTTATGATAAATGGCGAGTAGCTGGATAGCAGCAGTCGCACAGCTGTTGGTTTGAAGGCAAAGCTTAATATCCAGTTGCCAGATCCAAAGAACGATATGTAGAAGTAGAACAGAATCATGGCCGCATAGCGATAGTTACGCTTCAAGCGATCGAGTGGACCATCCTTATCGTTATCGTTATCAGACTTTCCCCTAACCTTGTCGTGAATTTGCTGGCCCAGCAGAAATTCGGTGATCATCAGTTGCAGGAAGAGCGAACCCGTTGAAATGCAGAGCAGGGCATGCACGGCTACCAGGTTGAAGGAAATCAAATTAAATCGCTGTCTAGGGTTCTCCGCTTTGCTGTAAGGCAACGATACGAAGGCATAGCCGAGGAAAGTCCAAAAGGCAGTCCGCAAAAAGAGGTTAATTTCCTGGTCACTCTCGTAGAGATAAGTGCCATAGACTCCCATCAGCAAGATCCCAGAATTGATCATCCAAACGTGCTTCTCGAATTTATGTCCCAATATCCATGGCCGGAGCACTGCCAGAAACATGCTGAACGCCAGCAAATAGTTCTTCATATTGAGATCAATTGCGTCCAATATACTTTTCAACTTGAAGTTTAGCATGGCAACTAGAAATGCACTTGGCAACAGCATGGCTGTCAGCCAGATAAAGAATTTCCTCGACGGCCGAAGGAAGCCGCGTCGATTGTAGGCACACACGACGCCAGCGTAGAGCAGACCGGCATGGGTGCTCATAAGCGATGTCGCTATAACCAATCCAGCGGGTAACACTGTCCAGCCTAAAAGTGTAAACGGGTACGGAATGGATTTACCATGCAGCGGTCGTTCGGCCAGTGCCATCGTCCAAATGCATATGGGCAGCATCAGATAAAAGGCCGTGTACCAGGGCACCCACTGCAGGAACAAGACAGCTCCGAGCAGCAGTCCCAGCATGGCCATCAGAAAAGTCATCCATGTCATCAGTCCCTTCTTCGGCTGCTTGGGCTCTGTGCATTCGCGTGTCAGCATGACAGCCAGGCAGTAGAACAAACCAAAATACGAAGCAGTTATGGCCACTAGCATTGGAATGTGATAGTAGTTCTGGTAAAAATCCAAGCATTCGCGGGCCTGCCAGGACGCCTGCCCGAGCAGCTTTACGGCCTTACTGTCGTAGCCAGCCGCCACCAGGCGCTCAACTTCAGCGGGCAGGAGGGCGATTCGCCTCGAGTCCAGGTGCTCATATTTCGGCAGCCATTTGTGGAAGAAACTGAGCTCATGGCGACGTATCATTACCTGGGCCTGGGCCAGCAACTGCAGCACATTCAAGACCAATGCCTGCCGTTCGTACTCCTCGCTCACATTGAGGTAGCCCAGGGGCAATGGAGCCCTGTTGTTAATGGGCGGCGGCAGGCCCAACAAAGCCGACATCAACGGCGCCAGCTGAATCTGCTCCAGCTCTTGTTGCGGTAGCTGGAGTCCTTGTGCATTGGCAGTGAAGTTTAGCTTGGTGTCAGGTGGTCCCAGTCGCTTGACGCCGGCTCCCCAGATGAAGAAGGGCATTTCTACTTCCATATTCGATCCGCCGCCATGGTGACCTGAAACGAATACACGGTAGCAGTCTTAGCAAGGCGATGGCATCAAGGGTGCTGTACATACCCCCATCCAACATGCCGTGATCCGATGTCAACAGATAGGCCGTTCGACTGTTGTTGAATGCGCTCTCAAAGAGTTCGTAAGTCTCCCGAATTCTCTTCTGTGTCACATAGAGCCGCTTCCGGAACTCACGGTCAAGTGGCGTGAACACATGGCCCGCCTTATCAAGATCGTACAGATATACAAAAAATATCACCGATGTTTCGTTTTGCAGCTCTTTGATGTTCTCCTTGTTGGTAAGAAAGTCACGGACCTGACCAAACACATAGCTATCAGCCTTAAACATTTTGAAATCCGATATCCTGAACGTTTCGAGTTGCAGAGGCTCGACAATGGAACGCGCAAAGTAATTGTACACCGTTTCATCTGCCCAGCCTATGGCATGGTGGCTCCTATTGAATATGGAGTCAAAGCGTGTCGGATTCAATTGGAAATTGGTGATGGCCACTTGGGGATCTTCGTAGAAGCCAGCGAAGATTGCAATGTGCCCGGGTCGGCTCATTGTCGGCACGCAGCTTCGCGATATTCCTACCACGCCTTGCTTCAAGAACAGCTCCCGGAGTTGCGGCACGCCGCTGCAATTTTCAGCAAAGAACGACTCTGCCCGTAGGCCATCGGTTAGGAATACCACCAATCGATCCGCCGGCGGTCGAAGTCCCAGCTCAGGCAGCGTCTTCTGTGGCTCAAGATCCACCACAATGGTCGATTGAAAATAGATGTTTATAATGAAACCGATCAGTAAAATGTGCACCACCAGCACCTGAAGAATCCACATTTTCAAAGGGAGTTTATCGTTTATGGGAAAAGGTACGTAATTGTTTGGAAAAAATTTAATATATTAGTAGTATTTCATTTGACAGTTTCTGAGATTAGAACGCTGTCAATTTTCCACCCCAACCACTGGGTAGTACTGGAACGAAAAGAAGGCCTGGAGCCTCAAATAAACCTCGTTTAATATAAATTTAATATATTTTTGCCAGCTACGCGACATTTTTCTGATCTAAGTAGTCGGTGAAAATTATCCTTGTCGAGCTGAAAGCGAACAAGCAACCCTTTCGACCCTGTGGCAGGCACAATTTTAAAGATACGATTAAACTGAAAACGCAGTATCGTAGAGATAGACCATATCTACCAGATTGCCGAATCTGAATCAGATCGGATTATAATTATAGCCAGAATGAAGAAGGGTTGAAAAAATATACATACATACATACATATTTAAGGCTTTTGTTTTGACGATGTTAAACAAATCCACTAACAGACAAACTTTTTAAACTATCTGTAAAGTCAACAGCCGAAAAGCTTTGATAACAGAACCAAAAAGCTACTTTTTCTTTTGGCCGCCAGAGACCGCTTTGATTAGCAGCGCATTTTGTCTGCTAACAGAAGCTGGCTGATATGTATCAATTAGCTGCTGACACTAGGCAGGCAAAAATAAAAATTGGGCGCGTAAATCTTGGAATTCCTTGGAATCCATGCATCTTGAATTCTTGGATAAAGAAAGTCTTTTATTTAATTTAAGTGTATATATTTGTATTCAAATTGTGCGAAATTCTCGTAGACCAATTTGGAAAGCTAAAGAACAAGTTTTACGAGCTAAAAGATGACTTAATTATCACATGCAAAGCTTAGTCATATCACGATATATCTAGACAATAAATTAAAAAGTTAGGGCACACCCCTTGGGTCGATTTATGTGGCCCTCATGCGCCACGTGTTCTTGATCATGTCCGCCGCCTTCTCTGCAATCATGATAACAATTGCATTCGTGTGTCCAGCCGGCACATTCGGCATTACAGAGGCATCCACCACACGCAATTTTTGAATGCCATGCACCCTGAGCGTGGCATCCACCACAGCTGAGGGATCTGTGGCGGGTCCCATCTTGCAGGTGCCCGACTGATGCTGCAGACTGGAACCGTAGCGACGCAGACAGCAGCGCCAGTACTCCTCGCTGGCGAAGGTCAGGTGCTCACAGCCCGGAAAGGGACGATCGTGGAAGTGAGTGCCCAACTTGGCCAGGGGCTTGGAGCGAGCCAGCTGCAGGATCTGCACAGGACGGGAATATTTAGGTGATACATCTTCGGGTACGATCTCAAACGGGGTACGTTACCATTTCAATGCCCTCGATCATGGCTCGTATGTCGTCCGGATGCTCCATAAAGTTGGGCTCCATTCGGGGCCAGTGGAATGGATTGCGACTGCGCAATGAGATGCGTCCACGGCTCTTGGGTCGCAGCAGCACTGGCACCAGTCCAAAGGTCTCTCTGCTCTGCAAGTCACCGAACATTGTCTCATAGAACTCGTCCGTTATGCCCAGAAGATTGCGCATGGTGCCAAAGCGATCGCCACTCAGGGAGCCAGCACCCAAGACCAGCTCCATGTCCGGATAGTCCTTGGCTGCAGGAACAATTCGAAATGGTGTTACAACATCTATTTATGCCGAACAGATTATAATTACCATGACTAGAGCTGGGAGTGCGCACAAAAGCAAAAGCCTCGGCTCCGCCTGGGATGGTGTACGGTCCCTGGCCCGCAAACAGATAGCGGAATATGTCCGTTGGGTTCAGCAGGCGGGCATCATTCACCGTCGAATCGTTGACCACGAACACCAGGCCGTTGAGTGTGATGTGATCCTGGAGATTGTAGCCCACCCGCAGATCCTGCAGCACAGTGATGTTGTGCTGCCGTAAATGATCCGCGGGCCCAACACCGGAGAGCATCAGCAGCTGCGGACTGGCTATGGTGCCGGCGGAGAGAATGACCTCCTTTCGGGCTCGCACCACAAAACGCTGGCGCTGCTTCACGAACTCCACGCCAACGGCCGCCTTGGTAAGGGGATCGATGAGCAGTTTGGTCACCCAACTCTTCATGGAAATGTGCAGATTCTTGCGCTGCACCACCGGCTGGATGAACGCCTTGCTGGCACTGCAGCGCCGCCCATTGCGGATTGTGGCCTGCGATCTGCCAAAGCCCATTAGATGCTCGCCATTCGGATCGGTGATGTCGTAGCCCATCTCCTGGCCGGACTTGAGGAATGCCTTCAGCAGCTGCGACTTGTAGTCCGTGCACTGGACATCCAGTGGACCATTGCGGCCATGATACGGCGACTTGTACAGCTCGGGTATGCCAATGCGCTCGGACTTCTTGAAGTAGGGCAGAATCTCGTCGTAGGACCAGCCCGAATTGTTGGCCGCCGCCCAATCGTCGTAGTCCCTGCGATGGCCACGCGTGTACAGCATAAAGTTGATCAGGCTGGTGCCGCCAATGCCGCGCCCCTTGGGCCAGTTGCAGACGCCCTCCTTCAGGCCCTGGCAGGCATGGGCAGTCGGCTCCGCCTTATAGCCCCAATTGTAGCGCGTCATTTGGGTGAGAGCCGCCGTCAGCGGCACATCACTGATGAAGGTCTCCTGATCGCCCGCCTCCAACAGCAGAACGCTCGCTGTGCTAATCTCACTGAGACGATTTGCCAGGACACAGCCAGCGGTGCCAGCGCCGACTATGATGAAGTCATACTCCGGCAGGAAGCGCGTGGTATCTGGGATCCTTGTGTTCAGCAGCGACGTCTCAAAGTCCCGCAGCAAATCCACCAAAAGCTGGCCGCTGGAGGATTGCAGGGAGCACAGACAAAGCAGCAGGGCGCCCAGCCAAAGTCTCCTCATCGTGCTCAGAACTCAGAACTGTGTGTGGGGGGATAATGAAGTGAAGCGGACATGTTAATGAGTAAATGCTCCGATTAAGTCTAGAATTCTTGATTAGCAGCTGCATGTAAATTTTTTTTTGCAGCGTTGCGACCTTCGAAATGATTTCACTTTCCACTACGCTGCAGTGGGAAAAGTACTTTAACTTCTCACAGTTGCCTGGAAATTAATTAATTCGTAAGTTAGCCTGCTAGAGTATCGGCAGCTTCGTTCAACTACTTGCATTCTGGTGCCACTTCTGTTGTGTTCTAACCAGCTCAATTCACGCTCCATCGATCGACGGGGGGCTGGGACTGGGGCTGCACTCCATCCCGATCGCGTTTTGAGCTCAAGTTCAACGGGTTGGGTATTACAAGACAGCGTTCAAGAGCGCTCAAAGGTGCCAATAAAAATAATGACTGTGCAAAAGGAGCGAAGTAAAGCTCAGCCAACCGGTTCGTGATCAAAACAAACCCAAAATGAAGAAGAAACCAAATTAAGGCAACAAAAATCAGCTGAATAAAAATCAAAATAAATCGATCGCTGAGACGCGCGCAAATATTTAAGCGTTGACCCATAAACCCCATGCGGATGTACAGCAAAACAGCAACAACAAAAATCGTCAGAGTGGAGAGAAAAAATACAACAAAAAAAAGAAACAACGCCAAAAAAAACAAAAATCGAAATTAAATTACTTAAATTGTGGGCGCCAAATGTTTTTATATGCAAATTTTTCAATTTGGGTTTTTTTTTAGCTTTTGGGATTTTAGCAAAAATTGCACAAATCCTAATAAATCATTTCAATTAACCTCAATAGAGGCTCCATTTAGTTGAGTACTCGGGCAGTAAATTAACGGAGTAGCCAAAGAGTCGAACTGGTTTATTGATCCGCCCCAAGCTACAGTTCCTCTGCGTTCTACGTGTTGCCTTGGACTTGTGTTGGACACACTCGATTGGCGGTGGGCTCTTACAGAACTGACCTACGTCATGCTGGTTTCACTTTTATGCCAACGCCCTGCCGAAGGGCACACTGCATTCATTTAAGTTCTGGCTATCGTGTCTCTGGCCATCAATGCGGGTCATTAAACCGCAGCTAATTGGCTGAGAAGACGTGCTGTGCTCTGCTGTGCTGCCCAAAAGATTTCGATAACTATAACATGAAATGTATGAAACCGATATGGTCCAGCGGCATATAAGCAAAAGCTTAACTGATTTTGAGAGGCAGCTTAAGATATCTTGGAAATAAATCATAAATTATGAAATTAAAAAAAAAAAACTTTATCACTTATGGGCACACTTAAAGGTTGCATTTAATTTGTAAGAAATTAAGAGTAAAAAGCAAACAAAGCTATAGTTTGATTTGATTAAGAAGTGTATATAAATTTTAGATTTATTGCAATTAAAGCTGAATCAAAAGTATTCAACTTGTCAGCACAGCAAAACAAAAGTTGTTAAATCTGGGAAAAACTGCATTTTTTAGTCCAAATAATGTTTTGGTCATGCACAGTTCTTAAAACTAGTGCGCCACTTATTGCACTGCATCTTACGTCAACTAACCAGATCCGGATTTACGAAACACACACACATACACACTCATACACACACTCAGCATTCCTTCACTTGGCTCGTTATTCTCTTGTGAAATTCTGAACACGTTTGTCAATGCAAATCAACAGCATTTAGCAGCAAAATATATAGAATAAAGAATGAACTGTTATCAAAGGAATGCACTTACAAAATGGGCGTGGCGTGTTTGCCAAAAACTAATGCTCAAAATCACTTTTGGGAGACACTTTAGATCGATTGCCCCGATTTATCTGTCGTGTGCGCATGCGCGCCCGCTGATGTACGCCGCTTAAATGAATCGTCGCTGGTCGAGCTTGCAACGTTGAAGCCTATATTTGAGATAAAAACCCCCAGTAACAACAGCCACAGAAAGAGTTAACAACACAGGTAGCTGCCGGGCAAGTCGGTCAACGGGCTACGTTTGAGCGATCACGCAAAAAAAAAATTAAAAAAAAATACAGGCCAAACAAAGATACATTTGTGTGTCGTCTCCCTCTCAGTGGAGCGGACCCGTCTTTTTTTTCAAGTTCATCGCCTGAACTTGCCAATTTTGGCTATGATCTTTTTAGCATTTTATGGGCATTTTTGTGGGGATGGGGACTTTGATGCGTGTGGCCGTTGATTTTTGCATATGGATTAGCGCAGACCTCGGATCCATGTAATCATATCGGACCGAAGCCGATGATCAGCAATTTGTCGGCGACTAATTAGCACTGCGATGCGAACGAATCACACGTCCGATCATATAGTGCTTCCGGTATTTGCTCTTGTCTGAGAAGGTACGAGTAATACTATAAATAGTTTTATGGATCAAGTCATTGGACTTCTGTTTGAAGTTCAATGTCAAGCATCGGTACATCGTATCGGTGGCTGCCTTTCCGTATGCCCAATCGGTTTATTTTTTTTATGGGCTTGGGTTACACGAGCACCGCTCTAGCGGATGGTCAGATGGTTGGTGGTGGATCATTATGATGGCATTCAAAAGATTACAAATGGCCTGGGTTTCTTACCACAGCATGAACTCTGGGCTCATTTGCATACGAACAACATTCAAAGCGTTTCATTAATGGCCAACTGAAAAATATGTCGGTTTTAGCTCGCCCGATTTCGCAGATACTTTCACAATCAATTTTCGGTGATTCGCTGTAGCCCAACCTTGAGTACAAGACATGCTTTTGCCTCTATTTCTTTTTATAGATACAATCCAAACAAATCGCTTTGAATGCATTTTGCACTGTCTCCTGAGACGATTTATTTGTGGGTCCATAGTTGATATTTGTCCAGCATTTATGCATATTCATTTTGCATGACTTGGCAACAGTTGAGCTGACAAACAGACAAGCAGGCTTGCTCACTTTCCGACTCACTGACTCTATGACATGACTCTCTGTCTGTCTGCTGATTTATGCGCGTATTTCTATCGAGTGCAAACACTGTACATTAAGTGCACACCACTCACTCGAGACCTGATAATTGATTAAAGATCAAAGGCTGAAAACAATGCGCTCTGCTAATTAAATTTTAACTGCCTAACAAAAGGCGAACATGGCTAATCGTGCGGGTGGCTTGGTTTGGCTTACTGATAGCTGGCCTAAAGCAAACAATGAGACAACAAATTTTTGGAGACCAATACCAGAAGTTACATAGATCAAGAAATTGATCTAAACAATAACTGAATCAACAGCAATGTTTCAGGGGTTTTCCAGATTATTCAAGAGTTTTATTTATTTGCGTAAATTACAAGAAGTTACCTCAGCTATGGTAGCCTTGTAGCTGTAACCCTTTAACAAGTGTCTATGATATGATTTATGTTAAATATCTGATAAATGCATGGTAAACATACCTCGAACCCTAACTCACGCACCTGTTGCCATAAATGTTGTTAATATTCAACAAAACGTCCTGCGATTAGAACCTCAGAACCTGCCTCTCCATTAGCCATGTTTGTAACATATAAACCTTTGTTTGCTAGTTTGCTTAATGTATTGTAGTGTATTGCTAATTTGCAAATCAGGTGCTTCCAATTGCTGGCATTGCCTGGTGTGAAAATACGCCAAAGCAAACACCTAATGTGAGTGCATCTCACACAGTGCCCTTGGGCACTTTGCAACATACTACTCGTACTGGTGCTCGTCCTCGTACACCGATCATTTCATTGCAAATTTAATTTATTACAACTGACTAAGATCTACAAATACATATTTAAATCCGCAAAGTAGCAGATAAATGCCATTGCCCAGCTAGTCATTAACGACACACCAAATGCGAATGCATCTCTCATTGCCCTGGGATACTTTGCATACTCGTACATGCAGGCGCTCATTTTATGGCAAATTGTATTTTTTGCCACCTAAATATAAAAATATAAGTCCACAAAGTAGCTGATAAACGGCCTTGCCGCACTAATCACTACAGAGATCTAATTTCTCACCTGCAAGTTAGCAATTTAACACTTGGCAGCCAACAAAAAAAAACAAAAAACAAAAAACAAACACACACACAAAATACAGTAATACAAATTACCAAATACAAATACAAATCACGGCTTCAACATAAACACAAATCAAGTTCAGGCCAACAGTTGGCGGGCAGGTGGGCCAGCAGTTTTCTTTTTTTTTTACCGTTTGCCGGGCGAGCAATAAAATCTCCTGAGTGTCAAGTGGGTCGGGTCCCCAAGTCTTTGACTTGAGACTATGTATACTCGTATAAATGTCCATAACTCGTACTGCTGTTCATAAATCACGTGCCGCAAACAGATGCAGACGTGAGACGAGTCCGTAAAAAAATCCAATAAACACACACAAAATAATGCCCGTAAAACTAATAACAATAACAGCCACAACGATAACAGCCAGACTCAGGCACGGCACCCACAATTGACCAACGTCAAAAAGGTAATTCGACAAATTTAAGATTCCCCTCTGAGAGCTGTCATGTATTTGGCCAAAAATAGGCAGAGCTAGATATATTTACTGACGTGCAGACAAGAAGGTAGTACTTCCAGTACAACCATCATAATCATAATCAAAGCCTCAAAGACTCAAAGCCATTGAACGGCACTCAAAAGGTCTAAGCTCGTCTGAATTGAATTGAACTTGAAACAATTCCGATGTAATTTCATCGCCATTCAATGGAGATGCAAGCAATTGCTGGGGTGGGGTGTTCCACAATCTGCTCCAAACAAATTAAATATCAAAAAAATTATGATGTTCATCAGCTTGTAGCAGGCTCAAAATCTCCATTTTGTTTCACTGTTTGCCTATGGCAAATGTTTTCCGGAATGACCCATTGTCGTATTCGTGACTAATTCGTTGACAGACTCCATGTCAAATCTGTGCGACTCGGCGACGGTCTCTGAGCACTTTGATTTGGGTGCTATAGACACGACAACAGTACTCACTTAGCCATGACTTGTTGGCTTTGATTGGGCAAGAAACCAGCAGGGAAATAAGTACAAATATAATCGGTATTTATATTTATATGTTTTTATTTTGTCACTAATTTTATGGATGATATTGTTATGATTTGATATCTCTGCCAATTATTGTATGTAGAAAATGTTAATGAAAAACTTTTCTAACTACGATCTAGAGTAGAGAAAAAAGATGCACATAATTGTTGTTGTTTAGTTTAGTTTAGAATTGTAACTATTTTGCTTGTCTTTAGCATACATTTTGGTTTTGGTTTTGTTTTTGTTTTGCTTTGATTTGCATTGCATTTCTGATAACTTTCATAGAGGTAGTACTATCATTTATCGGAGTTCTATATCGCTCGTGTGCGACCTCCGATTACGTATAGCGGCCTTACTTTGTTTCGTCTTAAAACCAATTGCTGGTCATCTCGATTGAGTTGCACTAGAACTATTCTATTTATTGTATAAAGCCGAAAGCGTCTTGGGTTTTCAATGATTATGCCTGGTAAACACTAATTATAGTAATTACATTTATTATAAATTAGTTTCTTGAATGTAAAAATATATGTTAAACATAAAAGAATACCTAACATCTACACATAAAGATAGAATTGTTGTTTGTTTGTTAGACTTTTCATGCATTTTTATAAATATTATTTTTTCTGTTTTGTTAGCCGTAATTTCGTTTTGTTGATTCTTTTTTTTTTGTTTAATTGTATGCTCAAAATGTTAGACTTTGATGTGTGGTTTTTTATAAAGTTAATCAGTACGAATTGCTCAAAAACTAAGCCCCCCCCCACCTCTGGGCAAATTTAGTCGCTGTAACAACTATGATAACCAGCTAATTGCAATTCCATGGCGTAAGTGCAACAGATGCAGCAGTGTGTGGCAGTAGCGTTGAGAATATTGTTTAAATATAAATTAAGAAAAAGTTGGCTTAAACTGAAGCAGCCCAAAAGTATGCAATGATTTATTTCAATGAACACTAGCAACATGCTGCCAAGCATGGGGCATCAATAAAAACTGAAACTACCGAGCAAAATTAAATAATAAAAATATTCTGAAATACGACACTATAAATACAATAAATCGCTATATTAGAGATGCGATTTTAGATTAAGATTATTGAAGTTTTATGTCTTGGAAGAATAAATAGATAAATGTGTATTTCCTATGGAATTGCAATTGGCGTCCAGCGTGTTCTCAACCAAAAACGGGGCAATATGGGCTCTAAAAAAACAGACCAAATAAAAGAAACAAAAATAATAGTTAGGCATTGGTTGGCATTGGCCCCTGTCTAGTGGCGCAGCAGCATGTTGCTGACCTTGGCTTCCGTCTTGGTGGTGATCTTCTCGCGGTACTGCCGATTCTCTGGATTGGCCAGCACCGAGGCAATGAACTCCGATGTCTCCAGCTGCAGCTGGGCCAGACGCTTCTGCAGCAGCTTGTTACGCTGCACCAGCTTGATCGTCTTGATGGCAATGGAGAGCAGACCGTCGCTGTTCTGATGCTGGTAGTTGTTGTTGTTGTGCTGCTGCTCCTTGCTGGGCTCCTGCGAGTACTCGTAGCCACTGTCGCCATCGTCGTCCATCATCGCCTCAGCCAGTGCATTGTCACAATGTTTGGCTGTTGCTGTTGCTGTTGCTCCTCCTCCTCCTCTATGGCTGCTGTGGCTGCAGCTGTTGCTGCTGTTGCCCATGGTAGGCTGTAATACTGTTTTGATATTCTCGCCGCTGGAATGTTGCTGCAGCTGCAGCTGAAGTTGCACTTCTGCTGACTCGCTTTGGCTTCGCGCTGATTGCATCTCTGCCCGTGTGGACGACGCTCTCCTGCTGGCCTCCGCCTGTGTGCCACGCCGTGGGGACGACGGTACGGCGGCACTGCCTGAGATCATTGGCAGTCTTCGGTGGTGGTGGTGGTGGTGCAGGCGTCGACGACGCACTGAGTTCATTGAACCTAAAAAAAAGAAGATGGAAAGTTTTAGACACAAGAAACTTAAGAAGACTACCAAGACTGCGTGGATATGGTGGGTTCAAGTAATTAAAGCAACGCGCACTCGTTTTGCTGATAAAAAACTTTGTTGCCAGCTCAGTTCAGTGGCTAATCAATCAACCGTTTCATTGCCGCCTCTATGACTCTATCTATGGACTGTCCCTGATCGCGTGTGTCTGCTGGAAACGTGACCAGCAGCAGTTTCAATTTACAGTCCCAGCAGTCGCAACACTCCATTCGCTTTCCATCCGCCAACAGCTGTTCGAACTTTTGGGAGTCATCATGACACTGGCAGCAGGAAATAGCAACACTCCCACATGACCTACACAAATCATTTCTACCCCCTCCCCACCCATTACCATTGCCGTGACTGTGTCTATGGTCAGGGTCATGACGGCCTGCTGCCTTCATATTTTTACTTGAACGTGGCACATGGCAATGCCAATGCCAGTGCACACAATCGCGCCGACTGCGGCCCTGCACCTGTTTGCGCTGTGTAAATAAAGCGCTTTCCGTTTTGATACGCTGCAACCCAGCATGAGAGCCGCACCAGCCCCCCCATGAGAGCCCCAGTGCCCTGAAACGTGAGTGTGCGACACGCGCGTGATGGCAGAGTCGACTACATGGCGCCAGACCGAAGGCAGTGGCTGCCATTTGACAAACATAATGCAATGAGAAATATTTCGAATTTCCAAGAGTTGATTTTCTGCTGGAATATCTAACCGGAATTATCTTAAGACTGCCAAGCAATCAGCTTAAGTTCTGAAATCTTGTATCGTTTTATTTAGCTTTGAGTTTTTTGATCGTGACGGGTTTGCCCTTGATAACCGCCGACAGTGCCGAGACAATTTCCACCAGAGGTTCATTGAGATCGCCATCTGTATCGGTCTGAATCTTGTCCAAGGTCATCTGCTCGATCTTATCAAAATGCTGCTCCATTTCGACGCTCAAATCGTTTATAAAATTGCACAGGTCATCGATTTCCCCGCGAAAGTCGCGCAAATTTTGCGGCAAACGACTTTTCATGAGAAAAAGTTTGTTGCGGCTAAAGAAGCGGAAAATGTGCACCTTGGCTGTTTTTTGCGCCTCCATTTTGGATATCTTGTGATGCAGCAAATGCTGGTAGCGCTCCAGGCAGACGTGCAGTTCGCCGGCCACCTGTTGGGTCCACTCGTTGAACTCCTGGGCCCGGGCGGACATCTGGCGCAGCTGTTTGTTGATCGAGCACAGCCGCTGGCGAAATTCTCGCAGGATGCTGCGCAGCTTCTGATAGCGGCAGATCATCTCAGAGATTTCGCACTGCAGGCGGTGGTGGGCGTGCTGAAGGTTACGTACCTCCACCTGCTCCTGGCAGCTCAGCGCCAGAGGCTTTGGCTCTGTTGCCGCCTTTAGCTCCTGGACTTTCACCTGGACATCCAGCTCCTTGCGTTTGCGCTCAATCTCCTGGCATATCTGTTGGATTCTAGTCAGATATTCCTCCTCTGGCTGCTCTTCTTCGGCGGATTCGGATTCGGATTTGTCTGGATTTTGACGCTGCCTAATGGCCAGCTGCATCAGCTCAATGCGCCGTATAAGACAATCGATCTCGGCCACCGCACGCATAGCACGATCCTCCTCATCCTCTGTGGCGTCCTCAGTGTCCGGTGTGGGCTCCATGGCCAACTCCTCCTCTTCGCCCGTAAAGCTGACAGCATCATCGTATTCAAAAATCTCGATGGTTCTGCACTTCAAGCTGCGCCGTATGAGATCCATGCGATCCAGTGGCAACTTGGCGCAGTCCATGCCCTCCAATTCCTCCTTGGTGGCGGTGTCCATTTTGCATGAATATGTGTGTTTGTTACTGGAATTTCCCCTTTTGTTTGTGTGTGTTTGCGTGTGTGTATTTTTATTTTTGTGTATCTATTTTTAAACTAGAGAAAAGTATGTTTTGATTTGTCTCCCACAGGCACACTCATCCACATCAAGTATACGCCCCGCCCCGCGCAGCCCCGCCGCCGTTCTATTTGAGTGCGCCACCAACTGCCAGCCCAGCCCACCCCTGCCATCGGCTCTCTCTCTGTGGAAATCAAGCAGACGCGTGTTCTTGGCATGTGCACAACAGAGACACAATCCCCAGCACGATGCGGAAGTATTCGCAGTGCGATCCCCACCCTCTTTTTCGTGAGAATTGACTTACTTCCTGAATTGGCCAAATGCCTTTTGCTGCAAAGATACCCCCTATAAGCGTAGTGCTGTAGGGTATATAGTATTTGTGTAAATGTTGCCATCAAGAGGCACTCAAGCAAGGAGCTTCCTGAAGTTAGTTCCCCTATAACCAAATAAATTCAAAATATAAATACAAATTTCCTGTAAAGGGTATCTTAAAGTCGTTCATTCCGCATTCGAGGTTTCTTTGTACTTTCAGTTTTCCTTGCACTTCTCTATCAGCTGCCACATGCACTTGTCTGCGTTTGTCATTGCGCTGCATTTAAGTGGGGCTATGACTGGTGGCTCTGCTTCTGTTTTGCTGCTTTGCTGTTTTGCTATTTGCCGTTTGTTGTGCTCATTCCACTGGCTGCGACCTCGTCATCAATGACTGTGTGTGTGTGTCTGTGTGTGTGTTTTTGGTGGGGGGATGCACGTGCCTCGTTCTGTTCTCAGCTGATTAGTCAAGGGTAATGCTTTATTAAAGTAAAAATACAATTTAAAAAATGCACAAAACGACGAGCGAGGGCGAGTGCGAGGGCAATGCCCAAAGGCAGCCGTCATCTGCTGCCACCCAACAGGAACCACGCCCACTTAGCCAGGAAGGTGGTGGTGGGGGTAGCCCGGAAGAGGTCTCGCACGTGGCCCCATCACACCCATTTTTCGTAGACCTGTTTGTGTGTTTATTTCTCGGTTTTATTTTTATGTGTTGCTGGAAATTAGCAGGCAGCACAAAAAAAAAACAAAAACCACAGAAACAGCAAAAACGCTTTCAATGAATTCGCATTGAATATGGCACCAATAAAGCCAGCAGCAGCAGCAGCAAATAAAACGCCAAGTTGGCTAAAAGCAGGCGAAGCAAATGTGCAAAACATGTAAATAAAGAGAACCGCACCCCCTCCCAGGAGCACCCACCAGGCAAATGTGGCACAGCAGCAACAAAAACGTGCAAAGGTTATGACACACACTCATTTGCGACGACTCTCCGCACCCCACTCCACCACACCCCTCACTCTTTGCTCGTATGGGTGTGATATTTCTGGCTAAAAAATATCACTGGCCTGAATATATTCATTGTGAAATTGTTGGAAAAATTTAACTAGAAGTTATGGATGCAAAAAAGGTTTTCCTTTCTGCTTTAGCCTGTTGATTCGCCTAGAAAAAAAAGCACTGAGAATTCAATGGATTTAAAACTGTATACCTATAGATTTGCACCGAGAATACAAATTGTAAATTCAATTATAATTTAGCATTAATTTAAATTAAATATTTGTTTAATTATATTTAATATATTTACCACATACTAATTACAATTTATATTTATTTTAAATTGTTTTATATTCAGATAAAATATAGGCCGCATTTAATAAAATAAAATAAAATCAAAATAAATTATATTTAATTTCACAATTATTTTAAATTTATAAAGGAAATATTGAATTAAAATATGAGAGTGATTGCACCACCAACAATCAATTCTACAATTAATAAATTGTAAGTAAATGTATTCCTTTCAAGAAATCCCCTAGAGCCCACTCCCTAGTTATTACTGGCCCGCCCAGCAGTCAATATCCATTTCATTGTCAGTCATGAGGCATTAGAGAGATCGCTTATATAAATCTGTCGGGCCGTTTTCACATACGAGCATCGTCTTACCCAACAGGCGACAGCCAGACGTAGGTGGCATGTGGGCCAATTGCTGACGCAAATTGTTGTAGCATAACCCCAAAGTCGCGTGCCAGCCATGCAACCAGCAACAGCCTCAATAAAGACCAACCAAACACCAACAGCAGCAGCAGCAGCAGCAGCAGCAGCAGCAGCAGCAACATGGTATCCAACACGTGGAGCGCCCAACGACCCATCAGGGCATGAGGCACGTGCGTCCTCCAGCTCAGCTAGAAACGGAGCAGAGAAGAGCAGAGCAGAGCTGAGAGAGAGAGCGGAAGAACCCTTCCCAATGAGGCAAGTGGAAGTGGCAAAGGCGAAAGCAGAGATAGCTGCGTCTGGGGATGGGACTGGGACTGAGACTGGGACTGAAGCGGTGCGGTCAAGTTTACATAAATTAATTAAACATGACCGAATAACGTGAGCGCAAGACAACTAGCAACGGCACACAGCAGGGAATCAGGGAAATAAAGAGCAGCTATAAAAAGAGACAAAGCGTAGATTGGAATAAATATATAAGGCAATGTTACGTATGCGCCGCGTGCGCCCACCGCAGACACGACACGACACGACTGCTGTCTGCACTGAGCGAAAATAAAGTGATGGTATTGACAGTGCAGGGGACTTAATTTATACAGAAGAGATGGGAAGATATGCTGGTAAAATGATTATCAATTTTGAAAAGGGTTTGACAGCTCCTTAATGAAACTGAAATATTTCCAAGTGTTCTAATTGATATTGTGGAAGGTTTTTTTATAGGTCACAAGTTACCAAAACAACCTTCCAGTCTGCTAAAAATAGAGACATAATTAACCTTAATTGAATGATTACGCCCACATGTGATTAATTCTTTGGTCAGGGCTCTCCCCAAAATGAACCTTCCGGCTGCCCCAATGTAATTATAAGATCCCTATATGCCAGAATGGTTTCCGTTTTCTCACAGTGTGACCGATATTATCTGCCTCCTATGCCCAGATTGGCTGTATTGTGTGTGTGTGTGTGTAGGGGCGGGGAAGGGTACTTGCTACTGATACTCACCAAAGCTAAGCACTGAGCTGACTTGTGTGGCAGCAGCTGCTGACGAGGATGACGACGATGACGAAGCCGATGCCGACGACATTGACGATGATGATGATGATGATGTGTTGGTGGTGGCTGATGAAATGGCTGCCGTGGCCACGACACGATGTCGCCGCGAATCTCGCATCTGTTTTTTGTCCGAACATATGGTGGGTGCCATTTCTTTTGGTGGACTAACACTGCAATCAGAAAGGAAACAAAACCCACAATTAATTAGCCGTCAAATTGATTAATTGCTTGCACGGTCTCTCAGTGCATAAATACTATAATCCTCCACCGCCGCTGGACAGGGCCGGCTGCACGCGCAGTCAAATAAGAATACAAATAAATTCTCAACTCAATTAAATGAAATTAATTTTGGGGGGGGGGGGTTCATTAAACTCGAAACACAGTCCACAGTGATTGCAGTCCCCACCGAAATGCTGTGCAGAATATTTATATCTTTTGTGGACATTAAATCAGAGCAGTAGCGGGACGTAGAGGGGGTCCCCCATTAATCGGTGGCGATAAGCAGAGCAAGCGGATATACTTAGGATTTATGTGCGCTACACAAAAGCGCACTAGAGTTTGGTAAATCTTATACATAAATTGCTGGAATTACCCTTTAACTTCCCTTCCCCACAGTTGGAGCGCAGCTTCCCGCCCTGGTTCATTTCAACCAATCCGCTTTGCCATTATAACAACATAAATCACTCGAATCAAACAATCAAACGACTGCCCCAGCAAAGACCAAAGTTCAGGGAACCAAATCCAGGGTCCCGAGTTGACATTTTGGTAGAAACACTTTGGAATTGAAATTCAAGACGACGCAACGCACACAGCCACCACAACAGGCTCATTAAGCGTGCCTCAAATCCTGCCTGGCTAACGACCATCGGGCGCAAAGGTAAATAAACTTAAAGTGTGTGTTTCGCTGGAGACGGGAATATTGATGGTGAACGCATTTGGGTTTCGGGGCCTCTCAAGTGCTTTGTCCGTAGGATGGGGCACAGCACGCCTGGAGGCAGTCAAATTCAAATTGAAAAACGCCCAGAAAAGCAGCAACACAGCAACAACAACAACAAATGAGCTGTTGTTGACGGCACGTGTATCGCTTGAGTGTAATTACATTTGGTAAAAGCGCCCACGACGCTGATGAAATGTTTGTGGCCCTTGACGGCATTCTGCTACCAACACTGGTAGCACCCCAGTTGCCTGCCTGCCTGCCACTAAATCCAAAAGTACTTTAAATGCTTGTGGGGCAGGCGAGACTAAGAAGATTTCCTCCCGCCACTCCCGCCGACTGCCAGTTTGATGTCAATGCGCCAATATGCGTTGAAATTACATTTCATTATTTATGCCTTATCCGTCATCCGATAGTTAAAGCCGGAGCCAGGCTGAGCCGTAGTGCCTAGTCATCATTCCGGTCGGTCGGGCAGGACGGGGCAGCAGCTCCTGCCTGTGTGGCAGTGAAATGTCTGTTGTCTGTAACAAAAGACGGAAATGTGCGTAACAAATTCTAAGCCTCCACGAATCGCCCCCCCAATGGCAAATTTAATGCGGCGCGTGGCAGGCCTTATGGTGCGTGGCATCCAACCCAAAAAGATGGGAGGTAGCGAGAACCAGCACTGTGTGGAAGACAGGCAAAAAGATGTTGCCTAGATTAAGGTAAGATGGGTAGAATATTTAAGGCGCAGCATTTAGTAAACTATTGTTGGAGTTCAAGCACCATGCTAATTCTATTTATATATAATCCATGGCACAATTAGTGACACGTTTTGTTCGCCGCATACACAGACACCTGTTGTTGTTGTGGCTCTGCGCCCAGCTACCTTTCGCTCTGCGGCACTGGGGTCAAGTCAATCAAGCAAACTTTGATGAGATTTCCCGCTGCGTGCGTACAAATTAGCCAATAATTGTTCAACATGACACGCCACACGAAAACAAACGAAAGACACGAAACAGCCAACAGCCAACTGTCAGCTGTCATGGCAAAAATGTAAAACCAAATAGCGCGACGCGGAGCAAAAACAAAAGAATCGGCGCTTATGCCAATGACTTTTCACACGCCAACAGCACAGCATAGAACAGAACGGAACGGAAAAGGAAATTTGATTTCCTTTCTGTCTGGTTTTCCTTTCCTTGTTCTTTATGTTTTTATTTTGGAAATTGCTGCTGAGGCGTCTTAAGGCAAGGCAAGGCAAGGCAAGGCAATTGTGACCGGCGGCAAAGACACAAAGAGACCTCACAAAATGCGAGTTGGAGTTCAAGGAACTCGACTTGCTTTCTCCTGTGGCTGTGGCTGCGACTGTGGCTGTGCGTGTCTGCGTCTGGCAAGGCGTTGCCATTTTTGAAATTTATTTGTCATGTGTAATGTGAAACGCTGCGGGCACTGCATACAGTGCCTCCCGCATCAAGTGAGCTCTCGCAGACATACAGCTGTGTTCGTGCCAATAGTGCTCTGCCAGAGGTTCAATTTCTACCCAGAACTTTACTTCCAGTTTACAGATGTTAAAAGCAAATGGCATACCCAGCTCTAAATCTCTCTGAACTTCGACTCCAGTCAACCCGTCTGGCTGTTCGTTTTCGTGGGTTCTTTTTGAGCACACGCAGCGCACATGAAGGGAAACGTTTTAGATTGCACTTGGGTCTCGTTTCGCTAAATGTGTCTGCCGGCAATTGCCATAAAGATGCCTTAAATATGCCCTGAAATATTCATAAATAGAATTAGCAATCACGTGGATGGGAGAAAGTGAAAGCAAAAGGGTGAACTTTAATTTAGAAGATAACCAAAGGGAGCGTATACTTAATGTCTGAACACTTTCCTTTTGCCATTGCATCACCTATGTATGTATGTATGTATGTATGTATGTATGTATGTACATTCTTTGCTCAACCTGGACTGGCTTGCTATGCCTTTGCCTTGTCTAATGTCTAATCTGTAATAGGGCATTCCATTTATTTCTGACCTTATCTAACAACTTTTACACGCGCCGCACATTTAAAGACACGCCGCCAAAGCGTACAGAAATCCCATTTTTTTGTATTTGTTTGCTTATAAAACTTTCCATGCATGTGTATTTTATTATTATTATTTCTAACATTTACTATTTATCCCGGCCAGGCCAATGTTTGCTTGAGATTTGTACTGTTGTTTAGGCCAAAATACACACACTGCCCTTTGGCTGGCGGGGGTATAATAACTATGATATAATAACTATTAGAAATCAATAAAATATTATTCAAAATAATTTTTTATTTAGGTTTCCCCTTTTTAAAGTCTTAGCATAAAGCAGCAGAAATAATTACAGTTCTCTGGGAGCATGATGGAAGCGTGCCATTATTCCGTTTAAAAGCATTACACCTTAAATAATTAAATTGCATGGCATTGCTTGTTAGGACTTAGCTGGAACTGCTCATGTTTCCCCGCCAATGGACTGGAAAATTCACTGGGACAGAAACAACATGGGCCAGAGACACAAACTCAACCTCAACGTCAAAGTGTTAATTTTCCTTCTTATCTGGACACATGCGCCGGCAAGTCAGACAGCAAACCTAAGGTACGACAAAAAAAAAATGCATAGCAGAGCATTGCATTTCCACTAGCCGAAGCACATTTAACCCTGCCCGAAAATGGTTACCAGAAACGTCTCGTTTTTAAGCTGGAAATTATAACACCCTCTGAAAGAGTATAATGAAATGAGCAGGCAATCGACATGCGTCATAATTGTATTTAGATACGGTTATGGGCTGGCAAAAACGTGCCAGCAAATTGTGGCTTGTGCAGCCTCAGAGGGGAAAAATGAGAGCAGAGCAGAGCAGAGCCATACTCGTGTATCAGCCTTCAAGCGACACATGGTACGAGTCTAGACAACGATTAGCATGGGATACCATCGTAGAATTTCCGCTGATGCTTTTGCTGCTTCTGTTTATAATCAATTTTCGGTTAGCCATTGGAAAGGCGATAAACATTTATGATGGCAAACGACGAAAGCAAATAATAAAAAAACCCAAAAACATCAAATGAGACACACGTGTGCCAAATAATGACTACACCACCCGATAAGAGGAATTCGGTAACAGAAACAAGCCGGAACCATAGCCGCCGCGTGACAGACGATTCCCACACAGACAGACAGACAGACAAACATTGACTGTGTCTGTGTCTGGGTCCAAAGTGCAATCGAGCATAGCCAATCTCTGACTAATCTCTGCTCATTTTTTATAATAATTGAGTTCCAGCAGACACTTTTATTAAGGTAAATAATCTTTATTTCTTTTTTTTTTTTCGGGGAATGAATTTAATTTTTTACATGTTGAAAGCTCTAAAGAAAATATGTAGAAATATCTGATAATTCTTTATCTTCGCCAGCAGCATTAAAAAAAGTTGTTATTTCTTTTTATTTCTTTCCGCTTTTGATCCACATAGAAATCAATCAACAATCAAATTAGCTAAACGCCTGCGTGCCCTAAGCAGCAATAAAACATTTATTGTTAAAATGTCAGACCGCAACCCGATCTCCGAAATATATAAAACACAAATGTGTCTATGTGATACAGAAAGGTGCGTTACTAATTGATGGATTTGTAGATATCAACCAAAGATAATTTGCATATCGCAGACAGATCCGCTGCTGCTGCTGCTGCCACCAAAGAGAATGTTTTAATTTTCCAGTTTTTTTTTTTATTTTATAGGCACTGTTTTTTTTGATTCGATTTTTGAGGGGCTAATTGGACCGAACAGAGCTTTTTCATTGTGTTGACTGCCAATTTGAATGAATTTAATGATTCGTGAACATAAATTTTCGAGTGCTATCGTGTGCTTGACATTTTGTCGGCAATAATTCTGGTTGACTCGTTTCATTGGCACATCATAAAAATTTTTGTTTGCTAACATTTACCATTGATTAATTAATTGTTATATTTTTTTCTGGTGCACGTGTGTCTGGGCTGGCTAATATTTGAAAATGCCAGAGTCTGAGCCACATACTCGTAAAAGTATGTGGTTAGAACATGTACCAATATTTTGAATGGTTCCCTTGGATATTTCACAAAAATTATAATATTTAATATTATTATATTTTGAAAATGGCACCGTGCAACCATTTATTGTACTCATTTCACATCTTTATTGTATTCCTGGTACTCCCTGATTCCATGAAACACTTAACAACACACCCAATCCATTAAGTAAATACAGACGATCTTCTGCTTTTAATGGCCAAAACATGTTTCGACTGAACAAACAGATGAATTCAAAAGCAAGCATTTACTTAAACCAGTTCAAATACCGCTTGATAAATTCTCTTCTAGGTCAAGGTCTTATTTTTTTATCAGCATTTAAATATTTTCGACGACATTTTCCTGGAAAATGTGGAACAAACACAGACAGACAGCAAAAGTTGTTGCGCTCGTGGGTTCATAAGTCAGGAAACAGTTTGTGCCATGAGTCAGACAGAAATGAGTGAATGACAGACTCTTTGTGCCCAGACCGCCACATTGGCCCCCTTAGTTTAGGTAAGGTAAAAACAGAGGAGTTCACTGACAAAAGCCCCCAGAGGGTAATCCCCCAGAAGCCGGCGCGTGTGTTGGCCATCAGTGTTTTTGTTTGTCCATTCCCGCCCTCCTCGTTTCATCAGCTGCGTACCCAGCCTTTGTTTAATTTATGTTTTGCCTAGTCGCTGTGTCTCTACGCCTTGAATGGCACTGAAATATAATTCGCTAATGTGCCCATAAAATGTGCAAAAAAAAAATAAAACAAAATGAAACAAAAGATGGGCAGAGAGATGCTAACACAATAATTGTCTACTGTTTGTCTTTGTCACACGTGTGCCACTTTTATAATGGAGCATGAGTAACAGAGAGAGGGAGAGAGAGAGACAGGATGGGACGTCAGTTTATATAGTCTCCCGCTTGCTTTTATGTCCATTAATCGTGCGGTACAAGGGGTAGATCTAGTAGGTTCCTGACTTCTCGCCAGCAACCCAATATGCAACCCATTGATTATGGAAAATAGGTTTCACTTTTGTGGTCATTGACAGCAAATTGAAGTGTTAATTAATTAGTTCATATAATTAAATTCCGTCCAAGTCACTAAGAGTCAACAACGCTCAAAGCAATGGTAGCCCACATTCGAGGCAGCCTTCTGCCTCTCTCTCTCTCTGAAACGCACACTTGGGCAAATACACGCGCGTGCATTAATTTACGGTTACATTTACTTAAGCGTCGTGTCTCTCGTTATTGGGTCAGCAATTAGCAATATCAATTCGAGTGCGGACGGGCATAACGGCTATGCATAGTGTTTGCCTTGTTGCCTGGCCAGCCAGCCAGTTAACCGAACGCAAATATCCGTTGTACGCAGGGTGGCGCCCATCCATTGCCATAGAAGGGCAGCGGCTGGTATGGGGAGTGTGAAATCTCATTAATCATTCCGGCTTATGGAAACCTGGGCTTGGGCCTGGGACGCAGACTGAATATAATTGCTTGTCTTTTTAATAACCGAGCAACTAGAAAACTAGAGGATTTATAACACTCGGCAACAGTAAGTAAATTATGGGAATTTCCGCTGTTAACCAAATCAAACAAACACAGACAGATATTGCTCATACGTCATGTGGTTGGCGATGGTCAGCTCCCAAAGCTGGAGTAGAACTGCTGGCAATACTCTGTGGAATAAATTTCTAGGGAATCGGTTTTGGTTGCTAATTTATTCCACTTCCCATTTGGCACATCCACAGCATCCTATTAAAATCAATTTGGTTTTTGGCTGGGTGGCGGAAATGGCTAATATATTTTCAAGGGATTTGAATAAATCTCCATGGATGATATCCCCACACACATAGTAATCTACCTAATATGCCATTAGGCAAATTAATTATACCCACAGAAAATTAGGCAAGTTTTTATTGTTATGGCTGTGTCTCGTGTTTCACATTTGGCATTCATGGGCGCTCGGTTCGGGCTTATACAGTAGCCGTTAACATTTTATATTTTGTTTTCATCGAAATGTTACAGTTTAAAATGACTGCCCCCACCACACACACACAAATACACACACACAGAGGCACACACAGTTATAGGGGACAGACAGAGACCGGCACAGATGCGTCGCACACGTGCGAGACAGACGTCAGAAGCGAACGACATGACCAAAAGCTAAAGCGAAAAAGAGAATTAATTTTGTAGTTGCCTGCATAAATTAAACAGCTCAAAAAACAAAACAAAAAAAACCACAGCACACACAAAGGCACACACACACAGACACACATTCTCGTAAGGGCAAAATGCAAAAACAAAGAAGACTTTGTCAGTCGAACCCAAGGCAAGAGCGAGCACCATAGACTTGTGCACTGTAAACAAATCAAAGTAAAAACTTAATAATTAGCTTTCTACTTGTCCCCAGCTTCGGTTCGGTTCTATTGCAAAGTTTTTCTCGCTGTGCCTAGAATCGAAAGCAGAGAGAGAGATAGAGAGAGAGAGATAAAAGCTTCTGCTCTCTCCCCCATAATCTGATAGAGAGAGAGGCTGAGCTAAAACAATGAAACACAGCACTGCTTCACACTGCTTCCCAAACTCTCTTCGTGGGCTACATAGCCTATGTAAGTGTGTGTGTGTGTGTGTGTGTAAGCTTCTCTTGCTCCTGTTTTTTTTTTTTGTTCTTATTGAATTAACGACGCACGTGTTGCGCCGCCCCAAGCTGCGCGCGCTCTCGTTTCCCCAACATTTTGCGACAGAGCAGAGCCCAGCGTTGCGGTCGCAGTCGCAGTCACTGTCAGTGTCAGCGGCGGCGTTGGCGTCTCTGCTTCTGATCATCGTATCAGCAACGCTTCGCTATTTTGTTGTTTTGTTGTTTTGCTTTTGTTTATATTTATATCGGATAAAGCTCGTTCTTATTTGTTGCTGTAATTCGGAACGCGCTCGCTCAGGCAAAAATGATAAATCTACGATTATGGTCGTCATGGGGTGTCAGGAATGGGGCGGCCACAAGGCACACGCGCAAGAGTTACCTATCATACATACATACATATGTACATATGTACGTGTAGATACAGATATGGTTATGCCTATGTGCACATGGCCAAGTATTTGGAACAACATCCTGTTGGGGTCGGCGTTGGTGTTGGGCTTGGTAGCAGTTAGTGGCATTGAACCATTTGTTAGACAGAATGTTAAGAAGTTTCCATCCAAAATTAAATATATCCAAAAAAAAAAGCCTTGACAGATTCCCGGTTTATTGTTTTATATGCATAAGACACCACTTGCAAAAGCTGCTCCTCCATTCCACTACATTGTTGTGCCAATGACTTGTCAGAGCCAAAGTCAAAGTTAAACAAATGCATTGATTCCACGCTGAGTAAACAAATAAACAAACAAACAGCTGTCCATTGACAGAGAGTCGCTGACTGATTCACTTTAGCTGAGACATCGCTTCTTCCACGTACGAGCATAAGCACGACCACAAAGAAAGAGCAGCTGCAAAAAAGTTGCCCTCAAAAAACAGTGGCCCAACGATTTCTCCATTGCCATTTTGTTATGTTATTTTCACTGTGTTTTATGGGCAGACAAAGGTTTATGTTTATTTTGACTTTTCTTAGAGAATATTTCACACGCTCAAGCTGCTGCTGCTGCTGCTGCTGCTGGTGCTGCTGCTGAAAGAAAAAACATCTGTTTTGTGGAGCGGAGGAAGAGTAGGAAGGAAGTTGTTTTTGTGTCGTTTCTTCGAATCGTAATAAATAAGGGCTGGCTGGTCATATCTAACACAACACATTAAGTAGAGCCAAAGTTTTTCTTTGTTCAGAAAAGCAAATAATTTGCCATTAAAACAAAAGCCATTTAAATGGAGTGTGCTGGCAACATTTTAGCCGCTATTCCCGAAAAAGAAAAAACCAATATATGTAGTTCTGATGTGATCCTCTCCTTGCAATGGAAAGAACAGATGCTTACCCTTTTCATTACCTGAACGGGGAAAATATGCAAAGAATATTTGGCCTAGACTCTAATCAAAAATCTTTCAGTAAGAGATGAATCATTTGTATTTTTAATGATTTTCCCTATCCCAATGATTCCAAAATGCATAAATTATTGAAGGGCATTTCCCAACCCCAAAAAAAGTACAATTTTAATTCAAAAAATATTTAAATAATATTTTAAATAGATCCCTGATCTTCCATTCCATTATCTACATATTTTAATTATTTCTTATTTTTGTCTTTTATTGCTTATTTCGTTCTCGCTCCTCTTCTGAAGGGTTTTCTTATTTCTTGTTGGTTCTGTTCATAATTGGTTTGCCTTGTGACATTTTGAGCTCTTATGCGCTGGAAGAAATCAATATTGCGCATACGCCAATGTGACCCGCTGTAATGCATTTTGTGGTGTTGCAACAGACAGCCCAGCAGAAGGCCAAAGGCCATGCCATGCGTCATTGCGACAGGGCTAATAGAGCGCCAAATCCTGACCTAAATTCGTCCTTGACAAGGTGAGGGTAAAAAAATTCGTGCACACACATAGAGATACATATACCCGAGGCCGTGAGAGGATGAGACTCGAGCCGAGCAGCATCTCTAGCGCGTTGAGAGCTTTCAGCAGCGGAAGTCGACTGTCAAATGCAATTTTTTTTATGATTATTCTGCGCGGCACGTGTGGCCCGTGGCCCACAAATGTTTTGCAAATGCTAATGCTAATGCTGGCAGATTTATGGCACAACCTTTTCTCTATGGCCTTGGGGGGAGCAGGGTGGTGGGTGGTGTAGGGGCTTACCGTCTCGTGTGAGCGTTCCAGGAAATGCGGCGGGAATGTTGCGTATCGTATGTTGATCTGTTGTTTTTCCGGTTGGCTAAACTCTTTTGGCGGGGCAGCGCACTCTCATCCACACATGCACACACGGAGAAGACACAGACACGGATCAGAATGGCAGCATAAACACGCTTCTTTCTAATTTATTGCACCCTCATTGAAAATAATGAGCATATTTCTAGCTCTCTCTCTCTCTCTGTTTCGTTGTTGTTTTCACACGCTTTTAATCTATTCTATGTGGGATGTGCACGGGCACGGGCACGGTCTGCGGCTGGTTAAAGGTGTGTGTGTGTGTGTGCAAATTCATAGACGTCGACGTCGACGCCAATGGCAACACGCGCGCCAAACAAAACTTTCGCTTTCGTTGCGCGTGGGGTCGCCAGCAACAACAACAAAAACAGCAGCAGGCAGCACACTCACACTCTCACAAACACGCGCGATGAAAGCTTGGCAGTGCTATATACATATATTCCGTTACTTGCGAACCCAACCGTACCGTGCGACCGTGCAAAGCAGAATGAACGCGAGCCATGGACCGAACGTCGTTTAAATGGCCCCAGTCGCACAGTGGAGCCATTTGAGTTTATTCTGCGCAAAATCTCAGCTTCATAGCTAATGAAAATATCATCAACATTTTAACATTTTTATTGGTAGATTGATTTATTTGGCGTAGAATTCTTTCAAATTTTTTTTAATTATGACATTTGAAATTTTCCATACAACTTATATCGATATTATTCACTGTGTTCAGAGTTTTGATTAATATATTGTATTGTATTGTCTTGTTTTATAATGAGTACCGTATCGCACTTTTCGTGTACATATTTACTGATTAAGTATTCCGCATTTTAGCTGATTAGTCATTAATTAACTAATTGACTTTTGTACGCAAATTAATCTGATCCATATACTATAAATCACTCTTATCTACATATACGAAACTATATTAATAAAATATAGCGCCCGTCAATAAATTTGATTGCACATGAGCACAAGCATTTATCAAAATAAAAACAAAAATAAAAACTATTTTTAGCCGCCAAAACCAAAACCGTTGACACACATTTATTTCATTTGAAAATGTCCAGCCCACGCATTTTGCTCGGCCGGAAGATGTTTCCGCAACAATGTTGCGGGCAACAATTTCTTACACAAAAGCCAGGTCAGCTCTACAGTGTAGACTTTACACTGTCCGAAAATACACGAGCCTTTTTTTTGGGTTAAGTTTTTTCGGTTCTGTTTTGGGGCCTGTCTGCCTTGACTGCTTGCCGATGGGTCCGTGCACACCCCACACCCACCCCATCCATGAACAGGCAATTTTGTCGCACGTGTCGGAAATTTTGTTACGGCCGATTGCTTTCGCTTCCTCTTTCCAACCGTTTCGCGTCCCCCTCCTTTCGTGTTTGTGTGCTGGTGTGTGTGCGCTTGAATGAGTTGTGTTTGTGTTGATGGTTGGATATACAAACATATATATATACGCATATATATTTTTGGGGGCCCCACATTTCTCGCTGTTGTCGTAATGAAAAGGCAATTCAATGGCCTTTGGCTTTTATCGGGAATGGGCTTTGGTTGGGGCACTAAGCAGCGCCACAGCCTCAGCCTCAGCCGCAGCTTGATCACTGCTTGCGAAACTAACGGTACTAACTGGAGGGTGACGTCTGATTTCCTGTTTCGCTTTAATCGTCTGGTTCTGAGTGTGACGTTGACTGTCGTCTGGCCAAGAGTCGAAGACGGCAGCAAAAGGCGAGCAGAAAGCAATAAAAGACGAATTAGCATAACACATCTCTTTCTCCCCTCCTATACACTCTCTCGCTTGCTTCCATCTCATTCATTCATTCTTTATGTGTGCTTTTAATGGGCTCGTGGGTGTCTGCAAAGGCCTGGGGGCAGCCCGGAGACAGGACGGGGCCGCACACTTTTCTATTTCAATTGCCGACACGTGTAAGCGCGTGAAACAAAAGAAACATGCCCATAAAAACGGGGCCATATGGCTGATGGTGCAGGGGTGCAGGGGCACAGGCGGACACAAGCATCAAAACATTTGCATGTGCCTGTAAACAAAAAAACCCCACTAAAAGCGCCACCCACGTTTACCGTCTCGGTGTCATTTAATTGCCATTAACCGGACGGGCGTGGTCGCGTTTTTGTGCAAGAGCATAACAAGTTATTGTGCATCCCCTGATCAACCCAGCCCAAGGGCCACCCACTATAATTGTCTATAAAATTTAAGTGCGTAATCAAGCTGCCGCCGAATCAAACACGCACTGTCCACACCAGCACGCAGCAAGGCAAATGATCGTTAGGCTTCGCCATCGCCAGCGCCGCCTAATTAAATGGGTGGTAAAATCCACAAAAAAAAACATAACAAAAGTTGGCGACATTTGAGCGGTTTATTTGGCGTAGTCAGCTGCTGCCCTAAATGAGTACTTGGAATGGTTTAGGTTTTGTTAATAATTATCAATCAAATCGGTATCGTATTTAACTCACCAACCATACGATAGTCAGCACTTTCCATGCCCAACATTTCGAGGCAGTGGCGTAGCTACGTACGTGCAAGACGAGGCGCAGACTCTGAGCAGAAAATCACCAAAAAACCTCTCACTCCACTCTCACTTCTGTTTCAAATTCAAGCATGAATTGGACTTGCATAATTATGCGTCGTTTAAAATATACTTCATAAAATGCTATGGAGAAACGGCTGGAGTAACGTTCCAAACAGTAAAATAAGATTTTCGAAGGGTTTGTCAACCAATTTTAGATTAGCCGTTTCTTCATTGAATTTAATGAACAATACTTCAAACGACGCCCAAATAATGCACCTATACACAAAAAAAACAATAAATTAAAAAAAGAGAAAGAACGTGTGAGTCGCTTCTTTGAACGCGACTCTACTTTTATACCAGTACTCAGTCATTATATAAATTTGTGAGCTTATGAATTTAAATTTTATCGAGTATAGTTATTTTGCGAAAAGTTTGGCAAGAAAAAGATTATTATTTTATTAAATGTACAATAAAGTTTTTTGAACACATACATTTTCAAATAAAGAATTCGATTTACCTCATGACCTAATACCAATATTATTAATCCATAAAGCTCACAAAAACCCTCTTAATGAAGTATCTGACTTTAGTTGGGGGCCCAATTTTTGTTTTTTTTTGTCCCGAGGCCCTCTCCTACCTTGCTACGCCACTGTTTCGAGGTGCTCTAAAATGTCTGCATACGCCGCATAAGTTTTATGGGTGCAATTGCTTAAACTAGCTAAAAATAAGAGTATTTATATTTTTCTCAGGAACACAATGACTCGGCAAAGTGGGGGGCGCCGGTGGTCGGGTGTCATTTTTGTTTGTGGTCGTGCAGCTATCAATTGATACGATACCCGACGGGGCGATGTTTTATTTTTAGGCAGAGACTCGTATCACGCCGCATGTGCGAATGCTGGTGTGTGAGTGTGAGTGCGCTGTGTAACAATAACAATGACATGCGCCAACTTTCGGTACTCGGCTTTTGTGCCGGTTTTTTCCCGACATGTGTCAGATTTTTGTTGTCTTTGCTCTACCCCCCACCACCCCTTTGTATAATTTATAATTATTTTTTCTTTTATTTCTTTTTTTTCTTGTTGTTGTCCCCTGCACATGCCCAATGTCAAGGCCTCTTCAGAAAATAACCACAGAAACTTGCCAAAAATACTTCGCCAAGACAAATTTACATATAGCGCATATTTGTTTTTGCACATAACTTTCTGTTAAACATACACACGCGTACATGCCTTTGGGAATGGCAAACAAAAAAACAAACAAAAACCATGCGCCGTTCTATAGGGAGCAAAATACTTATATGTATGAGCCGATGCAGATGAGCCGATAGCCCCCAGCAGATTCTACACACCTTCAAGAAAACACTTGACAACAAATCTGAACTTCAGGGCGATATCATGTACACACACGTGTGCGTACCTTAATGTAACCTTTAGTTTTATAATTAGTTTAAATTTATAAATACATTTAAATACTTTAATTCCAGTTCGCAACTTTGTTAAGCAGTGCTTTTAAAAAAAACATGTCAACCGCTCACGTTGTGAATAATTTTATTAGATCCCACGTCAGAGATTTGCTATAAATACACAATCTCAGCATCAACAAAAAAAGATCTTGCTGAAGTGCACTGATCGCCTCGAAGTTACCCTCCCAAGCTGTAAAAGACAACCAGAAAATATAATTTTTTTCACTAGAAACTGACTAAGATCTAGACATAGGATTATACGATTTCTCCCAAATGTATAACATATTTTATATGATAAGTGAGATACAAGATACACAGCAGCTTAAAATTCAAATTTAAACTTACGCGGGCCAAAGCAGTCCATATGCAAGCAGTATAAACAAGTTTCAGAAATGAGCTTTTAGCAGAAAGCTCTGTACTGCTTATATGGCTTGCAAGCAGTTCAAGGCGGGTACATTCAAATTTGAAACGACTTAACGTATAAATCCAAAAACACTGAAATGAAAGTAACTAATTAATAATATTGGTAACTTCATTTGATAATATTTGTGGGGTTCCCTTAAAAGTAAAAAAAAAACAGTATATATGTACAGGTAGAAAAAGGGTAGCCGGTTAACTAAATATCAAATCCCATACAATATTTATTTCATTTATTCCAAAATTTTTAATCTGTACTTTAATATAGATATTTAAATTAACTTTGCGAAACAACGTAATAAAAACCCCTCCCAAATGCTGTTCATTGTAATTTTTTTTCAAAAGAGAATCTCCCTTAGACGGCAGATTCTTTCCAGTCTCGCTAAATTCTAATTAGTAGATCAATAGGCCTATAAAATGGCCACAAGCCGACTTGCTATATAAAACTCAATTGGTAAATTAAAACATTTCAATAAGTAATGCTAACAACATGAAATCTGCGAACAGCTTGAGTCGTTTTCCCTCTCATCGCCTCACCACAAAAGCGAATACACCGATACTCCGACTGGGACTGAGACTGAGACACCCAACAAACAACAATTTGGCCCCGGGGCGAAGATCGTCAAGGATGGAGCAGAGTGGAGGAGGGTAGCGAGATTTCCGACAACAACAATATGAAAAACTAATCAAAGCAGAACTCATTAAGCATAGTAAAAAATTATGCTATTGTAATAAAATGGTTAAGGCGAAGCCGAAATCGCGCTGGCAATCGAATTAAACAGCCGATGGCCAAAAGGCAAACAAATTGCCGGGAAATCCCTGCCCAGACAAGCCAGAGACTATACACCAGAGCCGAGACCCCTGAGCCCAGAGCCCAGACCAAAGAGCGAGAGACTTCGCATCGGGTTGCAAGTTAGTTTTCATCGATAGCGAATTTATTATGCAAAGCAGAAGCGGTAAAAGATCAAAGCGCAGCGATAGCAGATAACACGCTTCGACTCCGCTTACCGGTCTGCCCAGCCTGACTACCAGCCACGGCTCGAGGATGAGGATGAGGATGCGGATGAACCAGTGGATGATCAGGGCACAGTCGCAGTC